GGGGGGGGGGCGCATCCTGGGCCAGAGGCTGCTTGCGCTGGTGCAGGGGCGTGTTGCTGGGTTGGGGTCCCTGGGCGTGCCGTGGTGCCAAGGAGGGGCTGTAGGGGAGTGGGGCCCAGCAGAGCCAGGCAAGGGCGCGGGCAGGGGGGCGGGCGGTCCAGTCCCACCGCAGCTCCCTCCTCTGCCCTCGACTGCAGGTGAAGGTGAGTCAGCAAAGAGGAGACAGCAGAGATCCCGGCCCCGCTCCTCCGGCCGGGGCAGGAGAGCAGGGGGCACCGTGCCACGAGGGGCTGGGGCACAGCGGGCGGCGGGAAGGGGTCCCCATGGCTGTGGCTCTCACAGCAGCGTTTGCTCCCAGGTCTGCTCCCCAAGTCCGCGTCTCCCACCCCTGCCAGGAGCTCTGAGCCAGCGGCTGGGGAGGGGGCTGCATCCCAGCGAGCAGGAGCCAGACTTGACCCCCTGCCACCAGTGAGGGGGTCAGTCCTCTCCTTGCCCTGCACCCACTGCACTGTGCCTGCCCCAGGCTCCCCCTTGCCTCTAGCGGGATTTCCTGGCCTGCCCGTGTGCCCCATCGCCCTCCTGGCACACGCAGGCCGGCGGCTGCTCCTGGGGGACTGCTGTCCTGCCCCGAGAGGACAGGACAGGACAGAGCATGCGAGCAGACGGTCAGGGAAGGCCTGAAAGGTTGCCCTGGCGGGCATGAGCCTGACCCAGCCCAGCCCGTCTCACCCAGGGGTGCCAGGGGCTGTGGCAGAGCAGGAGGGATCGGGCGGCCCCCGTGGGAGAGGTGAGGAGCTTGCTGCCCGGACAGCTTTTCTCCGGCTCAGGCGTTTGAGTTAAAGAAACATGAGGAGTCCAGTGTTGGCGCCGGCCTGGCCCCGACCCCAAGCTCCCAGGCGCCGGCAGACACAACTGGGTCGGGATTTCCCATGAATAAACCCGTGAACGCTGAAAGACGCCTTAGGGAGCTGTAACAACCCAGCCTTACAGCCCCTGCCTGTGCCCAGGATGCTGGACCCTCGAGACCCCGACGGTGCCAGCGCTGGAGAGGCCCAGGCTGGCACCTGGCGGGACTGGCTCCCCTGCGTGCCCCTGGAGAGCCAAGGGCCGCGGCCCGCGGGCCAGGCGAGGGCTATGCCGCGCTGCTAGGGAACACCCAGCCGCCCCCGGTGTTGGGTCTGCGCTGCCGCCGGCGGCTGCGCGTGGAGCTGCCCGCAACGGCAGCCGGGCTGTGAATTATTCATCGTCTGGGCTGCTAAAAATATTCCGCTCCCCTCCCCCTCCCGAGCCACGCCGGCTGTGCACAACTGCATGCGCCCCATTGCGGCCACGCGGCGAGACCCCCTGCCCCACGCAGCCGTGTGCGGGGCTGGGAGGGGGGGGCAGCGTCAACGCCGTGGCTGGCTTTGCCCCAGCGCCCCGCTATCGCCCATGCTCGTAGACAAGCCGCCCCTTGTCCCCGGCCTCCCAGCACAGGCTCCGCTTTTGTCTGCGGGGACAAAGGCCCAGCAACGAGGATGGCTGGCGGCTGGCACGGCGGCCTCAGGGTCCCCACCATGAGCACCGGGGCCAGGTACCCGTCTGCATCCCCCCACCGGCCTGTCTGGCCCCACCTGGGCCTGCCCCAGGGGTCCCTTCAGGCTCCGCTTTTGTCTGCGGGGACAAAGGCCCAGCAACGAGGATGCGTGGCGGCGGCCGCGGCGGCCTCAGGGTCCCCACCATGAGCACCGGGGCCAGGTACCCGTCTGCATCCCCCCACCGGCCTGTCTGGCCACACCTGGGCCTGCCCCAGGGGTCCCTTGGTGACACTGCTGCTCCCAGCCTGGGGGCTCGCTCCCCCGCCTGCTACAGAGCCCCACCAGTCCCAGCCCCCGGTGCAGACAGAGGGTCCCTCCCTGCCTCGGCCCCACTGCCGGCAGCTGTGACCAGGACCCTCACCCTGGAGCATCCCTGGCTTACACGGAGGGTGCTGCGGGTGACAAGGGGCCAGGGTTGAAGCTGTCATGGGGAGGGGGCAGCTGCTCCAAGCGCTGGGGCTGGAGCGGAGCAGGGGCAGCTGCTGGGAGCTCCCCCAGGCCCCCTGCCCAGAGCTCAGGGCTCTTCTCAGCAGGGCTGGGTCAGCCCTGGGCAGAGGACCCAGTGGGAGCTGGGGGGAGTCCGGCTCTGCTGCTACCAGGGCTTGACGGACAAGGGGGTCCTGCCACGCAGCCCCCCAGATGCAGCCTCAGCTTTAACGCAGCAGGGCTTGCCCTTGCAGAACTTGTTAGGGAGGCTCCAGCCCCAGAGCGAGTGGCCGCAGTCCCCATCCCGGTGCCTGTGCCAGCCCCTGGGCCAGGCGAGGAACTCCTGGCCGAGGAGCAGGGCGGCATCCCCATCCCCAGCTCGGGCCTGCTGCAGGTGGCTGAGAGGAGACGTGAGTATGAGACGCCCCGGTCAGGCCCCTCCCCGCCCAAAAGGAAGAGGGGCTTTGCCCTCTGCCCTCGGGCCCTTCTCAGAGAGGGGCTCCTGCATGCCCTGGTGCCGGCCCCCAGCCGTGGGAGCCTGGGTGGGGGGTGATGGGGGTCACGCTGGCCCTGTATCTGAGCCGGGCACCCTTCGCAGAGCCACTGAGCAGCGTGTCCTCGCTGGAGGTGCACTTCGACCTGCTGGACCTGACCGAGCTGACGGACATGTCGGACCAGGAGCTTGCTGAGGTCTTTGCCGACTCTGACGACGAGAACGTCACCGAGTCCCCTGGTGGTGAGCGTGCCTGGGCTGGGAGCGGGGCTGACCGCACACGTGTACACACACACACTCATGAGTGCACATCCACTCGTACAGACAAGACTTACATGCACCCGTTCATACATCCACGCGAGTGACTGCACTTACATGCACATGCACGCATGCACACACATGCATGCAGGCACCGGCACACGCATGCATGCTAGCGCACACACTCAGACATGCATGCACACTTATATATGAACACACCTGCACACGTGCATGCCCATGCATCTGGCCACATGCCCCCGCTTACACTTCCCAGCTGGCAGGGCAGGAGCCCTTGATCCGCAGCTGGAGGGGGCAGCACCTTCGCCTGCAGAACGCACAGGGCCACTGCAGCAGCATCTCTGCCAGCGCTTCCCCATGGAGACCCCATGGCACAGGGGTGCATGGGGGTGCTGTGCCCTGGTGCCCAGCCCCACACCCCGCCCTGCCCTGGCTGGCTGCTCCCCATGCAGAGGGCCCCCTGGCCCGGCCCCTGCAGCCAGGGTCTGGCATCAGCTGCAGCCCTGGGGGCAGATGCAGGGGGGTTCGGGTCCCATGCTCGGGGACTGTGGGCCTGGCACCAGGTAGGCCAGGGGGTTGAGCTCACCTGTCCCTTCTGGCACTAATTCCAGGCCAGCTGGACCTGGCTGGGCACTGGGGCTGTGGTGGGAGGGAAAGCAGCTTCCTCTGGGCAATGCCCAAGGGGCCAGAGCCAGGACAGAAGCAAGGGGAAAGCACCCCCTGTGTCGCAGGAGCCAAGGGGCCGCCCCTGCCCCATCCCTTTGCTGGGGGGCGCAGTCCAGACCCTGGCAAAGCTGGGCTCCCATCCGGGCAGGCAGCGGCACACTGCACACAGGGGTGTGCACTGGCCCCGCTGCTGGGGCATCTCGGGGCAGTGGCTGGCAGGCACCGACACAGGTGTCTCCCGCAGGACTGCAGCCGCACACGCTCCCGCGGGCCGGGTACCTGCGCTCCCCGTCCTGGACGCGCAGCAAGGCGGAGCAGGGCCGGGACAAGAAGCACCTCAGCGACTCGGAGCTGCAGGCTGGCGAGGCCGACACCTTCCTGACCGTGGAGCGGCCCCAGGACGAGTGAGGCCGGGCTGGAGCCCAGTGACTCCTGCAGCCGCGTGGGCGCCGCGTTGCCCTGGTCCAGCCTGGCCCGAGTGCAGGCCAGGATGACGTGTTTGTTGGCACTTTCTACCCCCCTGCTGCCTGCTCTGCTTGTACCGGGCAGGGCACGAGCAGGAGAGGAGCACGGCCCCGGCGCTGGCCACAGGAGAGGCCTCAGAGGGACGCGAGGGCAGCTGGGTCCCAGCACAGCTCTCCACGAGCACGCTTCTGGGCTGGGATCAGCACATGGCACTAGAGCTGCCCCTGGAGCTTCTGCCCAGGGGAAGGGTGGCACCGGGGCATCCCAGCAGCTGGACTCCAGCCACCCCCTTCACCCTGGCGTGGGAGGCAGCCCCCAGGTGCTGCACCCGTCCTGGGGCAGTCGCTCCGTGCACACCTGCTTCCGGCTGGGCAGCAGGAAAGCGACAGCAAGGGGTCAGGAGAGGGGGTGACGTGCGGCACCCTGGCTTCCCGCTCATCCCCGACAATGCCTGCAGGGGAGAGATGCTACAGCCTGCCCCGCGGGGACTGGCTAGGGGCCGCTGGCGCTACCTCAGCAGAACTGCAGCATCTGCACAGATGCTGGGGGCCTAGGGGAGACCCCCAGCCCCCATCCCTTGCTGCCACCCTCTCCACGTGCCAGGCTGATCCTGCCCTCAGACCCACAGCTGGGCGCTTCCCACTGGGCGCTACCAGGGCTGGTGCTCTCCCACCAGCTCCAGGCCCCTCGCGCTGTCCCTCACTGGACATACGCCCGTCCCCCCTTACTCAGAGCACCAAATAATGCCAACGCTGCCTCCAGAGCTGCGGTGACGTTCTTCCAGGTTGGGTGGAGCAGGCCTGGCTGCTTCTCCATCTTCGGTCTCTGTTGCCGCTGGGTCCCGCCAGGCTCTGAGCCTGGCACGAGGTCCCAGCTGGTGCAGAGCAGGTCGTGGCCAGGTGCCATCCGGTCCGAGCCCTGGGCTTTGCAGGCGATTGGCAGCTGAGACGAGCCATGCGACGTGCTACCAGCTTCCACCTAAACCCTCCGCTCCCGACAGCGGTGGCCAGCGCTCTCCACGGCTCCCGTCGGCCTTCGTCCACTGCCAGGGAACTGTTCCTGAGAGCCAGGAGCCTCCTGTGATGGCCTCTGCACGGGCCCCGGCGCCCGCCCATCACTGCCCAGCACAACGGACTCCTGTGGTTTTTATCTCAGTCTCGAGGCAGCTCTGGGCAGGCCGCAGCCTGTCGGACCCCGCCTCGAACTGTACCCTCCATCCGTCATGTAGCAGCTTCCTGTACCGGTAAAGGTGTGCACCTGGCCGCACCCGCGTGCTGTCCTTGGCGCCGTTTGAAGCCCGCGGTGCCAATGCCAGCAACAGGAGCCCCCAGAGCAGCGGGCAGGCCCTGCCGCATGTGCCAAGCATCCAAGGGGCTGGGGGGGGGAGCAGGGACAGGC